AATTCCAAACCTGCAATGATTCATCTACATATCCTCAGTTTTGCAATCTCTTTTTAGTGGCCACTGTATTATGATGCATTCATAAGCCTTTTTTTGTGGGGAGATAAAGTAAGATATAGTGGTCAGTCTACATAATTTACAGTGAGTCCTGTAAAACCAGACAGGATATTTCTACATTGCAACTACTGGTTAAAAAAACTTCAACTTTTATTTCCTTAAAGGTCATCTCAGGCCTTATGCATGTCTCTTCCTGAAGAGCTGTTAATTTAAAGACACAGATACTGGCATATTAAACAGAAGCTAATAAACCCCCGAACTGTACAAAACCCTGCTAAATTCGCATAAGCAGGTCAAACTTCTGTTCTGCACTGCTTAGAGGACCAGATTTTCCCCACTGTATCCATTGAGATACAATCTTGAGCTTCAAGTTATTACCTCTTACCTCACGCTGCCCACATCTATGCTGGCTTCTCCAGTTCTGCAACTTTTTTTCCTTTCATGGACACAACTGGCTGACCTGACTCCAGGGCCCCAGACACACATATCTCATAAGCTCAGTTACACAGAGGACAGGGAGGTAACTGTATTTGGACACACATTTCATGTAGCGCTCTTTCTCCCACCTCATCTCATTCCTTCTTGTGCTCATGACATGGTCTTTCCCATTTAGTGCTCTTGTGCAAAAAATGTCTTCCCCCCTCACACATGTCCTTTTGGATGCACTGTTTCATACACGACGTAGGATATCCAGAAAAGTGACACTTGCTTAATAATTCAATGCTTTAGACAAGACAGATTTCAAATTTTTAAATTTTACCACCTGTTCTGCTCCTGTTTGGAGAAGGGCCAGAATAGGTGGGATAATTTATTTTACCAAGTACAGCTGTGATGTTTATGTGGAGAACTGGAAAATCACAGCAACATATGGGGTAGAGTTCTTGTTCTCCTCTGCAAAGTTAAATATTGTGGGCAGCACATCTTGTCCCTCAGAAGCTTACAAATGGCTAGTAAAGATTATTTATTATCACATCTCTTGAGAACATTAAGAATAACCCATTAATTGTGCTGAGCATTTGAAAACACTACATATTGACATACTGACCCCATAATTGACACTGACACAACTGGCAGGCAAAAATGGAATTCCCCATGTGCCTCAGCCCTGGATATCATTACACTGCAGCTGACAAAGGGAAGCAAAGCAGAGACAGCAGAGCTACCAGGTCTTCACTCATGTCCCCCTACCCTGCAAAGCAAAAATGCTGACAACTACTTGTGTGGTTTGGGCAAAGCAGCACAAAGCCAAGTTAAAGCAAATGCTCTACCTGTCTGCCTCATCTGAAGGAAAAGGAGGACAACAGGAAGAAGCCACATTGTCCCACGATGACCTGCTGTGCCCATCCTCTGAGCTCACTGTGCATCACCCACTGCTTTCTCTGCAGGGCTCTGGGGCAGCTGCTAAATGAGAAACACCACAGTGCAAAGGTCATTCACTCATGAGAAAACAAAACCTCTGAGAGCAAAGTCTGCACTCAGTGTCACCACGGCACAGTGTTAAGACACAAAAAAGTGAGTGAGCTGCAGCAATGCCGAAGCAGGAATGCACCCCAGAAGTGAGGATTGAATCAGGGCACCAAGTTTGCAGGACTTGGCAAAGACATTGCAAAGATGCTACCCACCGGCTTCATCACAAGCACGGGGACAGAGAACAATTCCCTGAATTCATCAATTTCCATCCCATTATGAAAGCTGGGGAGTGTTCTTGTTTGAAAGCAAACCAGTGGAATATCCCAAGTCAGAAATACAATTTAATAGGAAAATTAAAATAAATGTAATAATATAGAAACATTGAAAGAGTCAGAATACAACCTGACACTCTGCTGGTCAGGGCGTTGGTAGCAGTCCAAGTAAATGGTGGCTGCAGTCCTCCTGCAGTGATAGATGTGGTCCTGTTGAAGCAGTGGTCCTGGAGAAGGGTTTGATCTTCCTCTGAAGGTCCTATAGTGGTTATGGAGCTCTTGTCCTCTGGGAATTCAGTGGATAAAGCAGACTGGTGTTCCAAACCTCAGATTATATCCAGCTAGGAGTGCTTGGTTCCTCCCCCTGGGTGGAGCATCTCACAATGGTATGATCTAATTTTATCGGTCAAGCAGTGAGACTCAATAGCCCATTAATAGACAATATCCCCTGGAGTTATCAAGGACGAATCATGAGGGAGATAAGGAACACTGCCCAGCCTGTTTTTAACAGATTATGAGGATGGTGAGAGAATACATGCTTTTGGGTAACCTTACACTGTAA